TCAATCATTTATAAATAATTCATAATTAGAGTCAGGTGAAATCTGTTAACCTCTCTAACTACGTCTTTATTCTTGGGTATCATTAATTCTCTAGTAAGTAGTATATTCATAAAATAAATTCATGAATACAAGCTCGTTACTGATTCAAGTACCGAATCAACTCTCAAGAGAACTATTTATTATCTATTTCTTTATTCAAGAAAGAATAGATTCCAAATCGTATATTAACATTCACGGCTACCTATTTCATCATGTATCCAAGATATAAGGAATAAGATTTAGAATCTTAAAATTCTTACTACGTAAATCTAAAGAACACAATCCATAAATAGGAGTCTACTGATAACTCAGGATTAAGATTGTTCTATATATGACTATCAGTAGACTCAATTTGAATTTCTATACTTAACGAAAATTATCAGAAATTCAAATCGAGTATGTGTCCTAGTTTCAAATAATCACATTTTGTGTAATACACTCATTCAATATCCCTCCATATTAACAGTGCGGATAAAATCGTTCTACTCTTAATGGGAATAACATGTATTAGTTATATTTTAATTAAAGATTCGGGAACTTTAATTAAATTCATTACGAACACGTTTCGATTATTATCCTTAAATATTATCCTTCATTATATAACTCTTATAAAAATATTTAAGGTTACATAAATAAATGCATAATTTTCAATGATATTTATAAGGTATTCAATAATATATACACATAAATAATGAAATTTCTCTTTTATTATATATATAATAATATCCTTTCTTTTATCTCATATTTTTAGGACACCATATCCTTTTTTTTATCTCATATTTTTTGGACACCATTCCCAACATTTTTTAAAATATATTCGTTAATTTGATTTGGAAGAAATAAAATGAGTTTATTCAGAATTAAGTTTTATTATTAGGATCATTTTAATAAATTTGGACAATAAAAACAGAAGCTGCTGTGTAAAAGTAACACCTGATCTGCTTCTCAAATTTTGTTGTGGGATAGTAATTTTTAGAAGTTGCTGGACAAAAGCAGGTTTTGCCAAACATGCTAACATGCTATAGCTTTTTAGAAAAACTAAAAGCAGCCTTTAATAGCAATGTCAAACGGATCCTAAGGCCATTATCAATGTTAAGCACCACCATCTAATAGAAAGTGGGACACATCTGTGAGTTTCATACCCACCTTATAATAAATGGTGGTGCTTAACACCACCGGTGTTTTATAACATTTACTAAAGGATTAATTTTAAAAATTTTCCCTGAACTATGACATTTTTAACACTTTACTCCTTGAATTTTAAAAAGTAACATTCATTCCCATTGAACTTTGTTCCGTTAACAAGTTTTCCCCTTCTGTTACAATGAGTGACGAAATTCACCACGTGTCAAGCACATGACTCATCTGAGGAGGGTATTATCATAAATTAACCTGTAACAACCTTTCCAAGCATTAAAGAAAGAAAATCCAAATCTTGAACAACATAAAGATCAGGGGAAAAAAAGAACCTAGAAGACACAAGATCGAAAACGTGATCAGAACAATGAATCTAAGAAACCACTGTAGGAGGAATAATTTAAAAATAGAAAAAATAAACTAAACAAACCGAATGTGCTTATTGTTGAGACAAAAGAAACCCATTTTAGTAGGCAATTTGTCAAATGATTTGCGTACAAAGTTTACAACAAGAAATCCAACAACAAAGCACCACAAAACAAGTATTTCCTTTGAATTTTATTTATGGGATAAGAAGTTTTGTTGGCGTTGAATAAGTTGAACATAAAGAAGAAAAGAAAATAAAAGTGCTTGTTTAAGAAGTTTATGAATGAAGGAAAGAAGTGAAGAGGGGGGTTAAGAAGTAACCTCAGCAGAGGAATCTTCAATTTTGGAAGGTTGAAGAAGTGGAAATGGAGGAGTTTGAGAAGTTACTTTGATCTTCATGGGTCGAATGCTGGAATTATTTGAATTCTTTGAATTTGAGTCGTCGGAGAAAAAGTCAGTGGGTCTTCTGCCTGGCCATCCATGACCAATAAGGAAAATGGGCACAACGCTGAACAAAATGAAGAAAAAAAAAGAAGGAAAATGGGGAACAAATTGAGGGAAAAAAGAAGGAAAATTCAAAACTTGGCCTCCAAGTATTTCCACTTCTAAGGTGTCATTTTGCCTCCTCCGACAAGGTAGCTAGGATTTTACTCCAAACGGAATTGCTTGTGCCTTATTTCATCATAACGCAGCCGGAGCAAATTCCCAAAAAATTTTTGTCCCATTTTCTGTGAGTCTCTCGTCAAACTTAGAAAGCTTTCTGACACCTTTCCTCCGAATGGAAATACTCCGACAGCCCATCGACGTTTCTTCCATTCCATTTTCAGACCATCTCTTTGTCAAACCAAGAAAGGCCTATCAAAGCCTTCCTCCAACCGGCAATGAGTGTTCAGATCTCTGTCAGAGCAACTGTCAAGCACTCTCATCTCCTCCAACAAATTCTCCCTCACCCCTTCATTTCACTACCAAAACACCTGCACACCAGATCAACACATCAGATCTCACTATCACTCTCTTGAGTACTTAAACTCTTGATAATTCACTTCAAAATCTCTTTTTGAGTGTCTTCATCAAGTCTTTTGCTACAAAGACTTGAAGCCTTCTTCAAGTTCTTGAGGAACTCCATAGTTTCTAAATGTTGAACTCCTTAGAAACTCATTAAGAACACTTTTCAATCCTCTTCCAACACCACCTGATAGCGTTCCGAAAGTTATTTTCACACTTCTTGAAAGTATTCTAGCTTCCAACCTCGGAGCCACTCTCGTCCACCGTAAGAGGGAGTGCTCCAAACGGTCTCCATGCTCTCGAAACAACCTGCATTCGCGTTCGAAGCTCTTTCACCAAACTCCTCCGTATCATTTTTCTACATCAGCGTCTTATCCAACAATGAAGCTACATATTCAAAGCCTCCAAAGTAGCTCGAAAATTACTTTTGGAGCCCTTCTCCATCGAAAGGCCTTATCCACCTCTCGAGTCACCTCCTCTGTCAACTACATGATCACTCCTTCCACCCTTCTTCATTTGCTAACTTCTTCATTATTATTATTTTTTTTTTTTGGATTTTCTAACATTTTTTTCAGAAATATTTTCGTGATTTTGGCAACAAAGAAGGTCCTAAAATAAATGTTCGTCGGCCTAATTTGGGCCTAAGCGAACCACACCACCATCGGAGGTCCTACCATCGTTGTCATCAAAGGCCCGGTAAGTGTTTTGGCCACGTTGGAACCGCCACCAACGAGTCAAATACTTACACGTGCACACCCCCATCACGTCATACCCTCCGGATCTACCAAACCCTGAAAAAGGTAACAGAAAGTTGTAGCTAAAACTCTAATCCTTAACAAGTTATAGGAGTGAAATATAGGAATTCATCAACCATTGCCTATATGTAGATCCAGAGTTTCTATGGGGTGGTTTGAAAGCTATACTCAAACCCAAATCATGATTCAGTTACAATATTTTTTATCTGACAGAGTTTAAATTCTAAAATTCTCTCTCTCATAATGTTTCCGTCAATGAACTCAAATTATAATTTGAGTATACCATCCAAACAAGCCTTATAGTTTTGTAACTTATTTTTTTTGTCTTTTTCAAAACTATTGTTATTTTCTTGTGCAAATATTATGCCCAACTGCACAACGGTATGGTTTGCCTTCCCAATTGTTCCCTACTTTTTGGTGAATAGGAGTTTCGTTTGCCTATCTCTACTTGAAACCATGGATGAAAATGTCGATGTCGATGGGATTGTTGAGATTTTAATTTACAAATAATAACAGAAATGTCGATATTGATGGATATTCTACGAAAAAATGGATACATTAAAAAAATCTTAAATTTTTTTATTGAAATCGTGCAAAATATTAAAAACAATCAATATTACTTAATTTGGACTAATTTAATAACAAAAAAATACATTTTGGTCGGAATGTGAGAGTTATGTCAACTAGTTTAGTAAGAAATTATCATAATTGTATACGGATTATGATTCAAATATAATTTTACATACATAATACAAACAAGGCACAATAATTATATATATTACATGAAAATTAACTACCAAGCATAATAGAGTACACACAAACTTAAAGTACTTTAAATACCAAAATAAGTTTTTAACATGTTAGAAAGCGCTTTAGGAAGGTTTCAGTCTTGATCTAAATAGTACATTTGCCAAGATATTACTTTTGAATAATTCTGAAGGTAATTGTTAATGTGCCATATGTATGTTTCTTAATCTCTTCCCATTATTAACCCATAAATTGGATATTGTTAGTTTATCCAACTTGGTTTTGTACTTCTAAAGTAGATCATATGTGAGAATTATATGGATGATTATAACCATATGAACTTTATTCAGTTTTTAAGCTCATGGAATCAAAACTCAAAGCCACAGATTAATCACCATTTTTTTTTTTTGACTAATTTGAGTCAAGCCACATTTTTTTATAAATTAATTTTCAATTATCCTAATACCAGGACCTGTTGCCCTACACCTATTATCTTCATTTGTGTAGCATGAGTAAAATCTTTTTTTTTCTAGTATTTAAATATGAATCAACAATTTAGAAGGTAAAAACTATTTAAAAAACTAATTAAGTCTTAATATTTTTTTATTGCTTTTGATTTGAAACATAGTCACATTTTATTGAAAAAATAGGAAAAAAAAATGTGCTACAAAATTAATTTTTGTGTAAAAAAATAGTTCTGGTAATTTTGGACATTTAAAAAAAAATCCTAGATATTTACAAATATTCATGAATTTTACAGATATTTTTAGACATTGTGAATGTTTTATAGACGGTAGAGAAGAATATTTTCCCTCTGTTATGCATGTTGAGACTTTATAAAATATGAATAATGTTGCGAAAATGTCAATAATCTCGTGGACATTTTAATCCATGCTTGAAACTACAACGAATTGGTATGAATTGAGAAGGCAACAAAGTAGACAATGTTGATTACATAATACTAATATTAAATGGCCATATATATTTACTATAATCACTGTTCAAAACAACATATAAGAGGCTTAAAAATTACAGCTTGAATTGCTATTGGGAAGATTAAATCATACAACTATAAATTTTGCAAATCACAATAGACGAAAAATGGAACTCTCACTATTGCTTGGGGCAGGCCCTAACTGGTGCAGGCTACCTGTAATTATACATAAATAACAAGGTAAAAGATACTCAGAGATTTGACAACGAACTATAATTTAACAAATAAAGAGGTTATTTCCAAATTAGTTGGCGCGAAAAAAAAAAAAAAAAAAAAAAAAATAGGGCACGTAGAAGGGTAAGACCTAAAATTACCAGTTGTGATCCAGAGTCTCTATGCCAATAAGAAAGAAGAATATCAAGTCAGCGAAGTATGCATATGACGGGATCAACCAGAAATAGGCTGGAATGACCTTTTAAACTCGTCGTAAAGCCATCTGCAAAACAAAATTGTTCTCTCATCAGAAAGAGCAACTCTGCCAAAATCTTTTCTGCTTGGCAAAGAGATCAGGTTGACAAGAAACATTGCAAGAGGAAATGTATATTTCACATCTCGAGTACTGTGAGTAGGTCACTAACTACAGTTGTTTCCTCACTCCAAACTATGTTAGCATGGATAACATGTGCTCTCTCGCCTTATTTTCTACACCCGTCCTTCGATGAAACATGGATATCTTAATAATGCTAGTTTAACATGTATAGAGAGCAATACGAACAAAACAAAAATCCAGTAACTAGAAAAGAGAAACATCCAAAGATGCATCCTCCTTGCCTTAAAACAACTGCATAAAACGAAAAGTAATTTACTAATTAGTATGACGTTTATGAATGAAGATGGGCGTACTTGCATAGGAAAACTGGTTGAAGTCCACTACTAGGCTCAAGACTCGACTGATTCCGTCTCTCAGTTTCTTCTTTATATTTGCTAGGAGGAAGAACTTCGCAGGGTCCTTGAACAGATTGGGCCATTATAATAACACGACGATCCGTTTCGAAAACCTACACCAGAATCATCAAGCTGATATGAGCTTCCACATGGCTAATTGCTTATGGCATAAACCAACACAATGAAACAAAGGGAGAAAGGGCCATAAAGTAAACTAAAGCCAATTGCACATGGTATACAGACATTGTAAAAATGCAGAAAAGAAATATACAATAAAATATTCTACCTCGTTGCAGTCAGTGGTACAAGGGCGGCCAACATTCTCTGGTAAGTCACCAGGAAAATAGTATCGACTGAGACGAAACCACTTTAACTTAGTTTTCCTTTCCTCATACATGGACTGCAGAAAAATGAAAATTACAACATTTAAAAGCTCTGGTAGATGAAACAAAAAATAAACAGTATCCTCAAACAACAGAAAGAACATCTGTACATTTTAATGCCACCGATAAGTGTTAGAGTAAATTTGTAATAGCTCGTATTCAAAATAAAACTAAGTTCAAATATCTCAGGTAAAAATTCCACAAGTAATCCTGGTAGTTGGTGTCTGCTTGCCTGAAGTTTTGCAGGCAACAATTTGCCACTGGAAGACCGATAAACAACATGATCCTGCAGTTTGTATATTAGTCCGCCAATGCGACAACTTTGATAAAAAGCTTTCCAGTCGTCAGCCTCAGTAGCATCACCAACCCATTCAACAGGATGTGTGCCATCTATAAAACCTCCTGAACGCTCCACAACCTCACTGCCAGTTGCAGAGCTTCCAACAGTGTTTGCCTGGGCACCATCTTGCTCATCTCGCTTAATATCATACTTTAAATGACATTCTGAACTTTCACTCAAGTGAGATTTATCTGCTTCTTTCACCATGGAGATATCCTCTTGACATTCCTGGGATGCAACTTCAACAGATTTTGGCTGCCCTGATTGGTCAACAACGTGTGAGTCATGGGAGGGTTGGAATGACCCTTTAAACTCGTCATAAAGCCATCTGGAAAAAAAAAATGTTCTCTCATAAAAAAGTACTGGGTCTAGCAGAGTATTTCGGCTTGGATTGGAAACAAATAAATAACATGATCAAGAGATACTATCTAATGTCAAACAGATCAGTTTGACATGAAACATCCAAGAGGAAATGCATATTTCACATGTAGAGTACTATAATTCGCTCATTCAGCACATCTGTTTCTTCACTCTAAACTATGTCTGAATGCAGATAATAGAAGATATTTCTTCCTCTTATTTCTTCTCCCCTCTGTGCTTAAAACTTGGAGACCAAGAATCATATTAGTTTCAATATCTCATATACAGAAGGCCATACAAACAGAAATCTGTTGATCAGACATCAAAAGTAGTAGGATGTGCGTGTGTGTGCATCGTATAGAAACAAACCAACATAAAAATAAAAACGTCCAAAGATGATCTCTATGCCCTAAAACAAGTGCACAAAACACAAAGTAATTACTAATTAGTACGAGATTATGAATGAAGATCCACATACTTGCATAGGAAAACAGGACAAAGTCCATGATTAGGCTCAAGACCCGACGAATTCAGTCTTTCACTTTCTTCTTTAAATTTGGAAGGAGGAAGAACTTTGCAGGGGCCTTGAATGTATCCAGCAGTTACAGTAACACAGCAATCAGTTTCAAAAACCTACATCCAAAAAATCAAGTTGATATGAACTTCCACGTGGATAATTGCACACAAGATTAAACAACACCACAAAACAAAAGAAAATTCTAATGCAATTAAAAGGAAGATGTTGGTAAGAGAATGTATTTTAGTATTATAGTGTCCAAGTCAGTATATAAACATGAAATCTTTATCATCAATGGAACCAAGTTAAAAATTGTAGAAATACCGAAAAACAAATATAGGAGAAAATAGTCTACCTCATTGCTGTCAGTGGTACAAGGGCGGCCAGCATTCTCTGGTAAGTCACAAGGAAAATAGTATCTACTGAGACGGAACCACCTTAACTTAGTTTTGCTATCCTCATACATGGACTGCAGAAAATGAAAAATAGAACATATTAAAATTTTAAAAGCAGACCATCTAAATATTTTGATGCAGTTGTTAAGTAATCTCTACTAATAGCTTGTATCCAAAATAGAAAAAAATTCGGATGTCTCCTAGGTAAAAATTCCATTAAGTTCCTGGTAGTTGGCATTTGCTTGCCTGAAGTTTTGCGGGTAAAATTTTGCCACTAGAAGACTGAAAAACAACATGGTCCTGCAGTTTGTACAGTACTCCATCAATGCAACAACTTTGGTAATAGTTTTTCCTGTCATCAACCTCAATTTCATCACCAACCCATTTAACAAGATGAGAGTCATCTATAGAATCTCTTGAATGTTGGGCAACGCCACTGCCAGTTGCAGAACTTCCAACAGTGTTGGCCTGGGGGGCATCTTGCTCCTCTCGCTTAATATCACACTTTAAAGTGCAGACTGAACTTTCATTTATATGTGATGTGTCAGGCGCAGGCCCTTTCACCATTGAGAGATCCTCTTGACATTCTTGGGATGCAACTTCAATGGATTTTGGATGCCCTGATTGGTCAGCAACACGTGAGTCATGAAAGGGTTGAGAAGGTTCAGCCTTAATCCCCACTGTCTGAGATAAGTGATTGTGAGGCAATGGTTTAAGTTTAACAGGTTCCCCTTGACTTGTCGGTGGTTCTGGTTCCCCTTGACGTGTAGATTGATTTGAATTCTTAACAAGTTGGGAGGAGCTTTGACTCAAACCAGCAGGTGAAGAACCAGAAGCTGCTTCAGAGGAGTTCATTGAGATATTTGGACAAATACCTAAAACAGGCTTCTCCTCTACACTCCTGCTGATTGATGAAAAATCATTCTTTTGGGTTTCTTTGGAGTCTAGACCCATTGACTCTGCTTCCAAATCAACATTATTGCTTCCCAGAGCCACACCACTAGTATGAGCAAGACTCTGTAAGTCAGAGCTTCCGTTTGCAGTCATCTTCTGTTGATTGTCCTTTGAATCTAAAGTTCCTACTTTCTTTTCTGAAGGTGACTGAACTCCAGTTGCACTAGGAGGAATTTTTGTTGATGTATTGCTTCTCATTACACGGCCATATTTAGGAGGCAAAGGTTTTCCATTGCTTAATGCCAAGCACCTTGCACAATGCCACTCACCTCTTGGAATTCCCCTTTGATTAGTTGATTGTGCACACCTAGTATGATATCCTTTCTCACAAGCATCACATATAAGCACATTATCCACCTCATTGATGGTAAGATGGCAAATATGGCAAGTCAAAGCCTTATTCATATAGTCCCTTGATGGAGGAATCCATGTGGGATGATCAGGAAGCTTGGGTTGTAATAACTTTTGAACCATCTTTGCAATTTCATTGTGACTGTTAGAAACTGAAGGTTGAACATAGTTCATGGGTTGCAATGGCTGATGCATACTAGCTAAATTTCCAGGAGCTGGTTGAGTAATGAACGACCTGAAGTTTTGATCCCTTGAAGCAAGGGGAGTCACTCGTGATACATTTGTTTGAGCATTTCCCTCAACCTTGGCTGAAGTTTGGTTTGCCGGGTTGATTTGTTCTGCTCCACTTTTAGTGGCGGCTTGAGTTTGTACGGACCATGTTGGAGCATTCACTAGTTGATGATTTGAAGACAAACTTACTGCAAGCAAATAACATATAAGGTTACTTTGTATGAACCATCTTTTAAATGAGAAATACAAGGTCTATTAAAGCAAGATACCGTATTATAATTTGAATGATAGACAAAGTATAATTCAAGCTTTCTTTTATAAAAAAATATGAGAATTACAAGGCGTTTGTATTGGCTTTACCTTGTCCTTGTGATGCATAAGAAGGTGCATTCGGACCTCCTTCTACTTTGATTTGGGCCCTTTCAACTCGTGGCAAAATGGAGGAAGATGAGTCCCTTCCTAAATTACTACTGATAGGAAAGCCACTAGAAACTACAGATGGTCTAACATCATTGGTTGGCAATTGATACTGGATAGATGGAGGAGTTGCTGTAGAAACGTGACCAAGGGGCAAAGAAGCGGAGGTAACCCCGGAAGAAATTGGTGGGTGGCTTTGTTTATCTGACTGAATCATTCTCACAGTATGTGACATCCCGCGGGTTTCGACTGCTGTGTTAAAGCTTGTTTGGATTGGTTGAGTATAGGGAGTAGATTGTGCAACATATTTCCTGGATTCTTCCATCTAAAAAAGACAATTATATGTCAAGAATAATTTATTGTGCAGGTTTAACTAAATCGTAGAAAGTGGTTTAGCAGTAGCTTGCGATATAACGTCAGAATATCATTCTTGCTTGTAAGAATTCAACTGGTCAACTAACTAGCAGTTTAAATATAATAAACCTGCTTTTGCTAATAAATAAAGGTCCTAAGAAAATAAAATCAAGACTCAAACTAAAGCTTCTCTTGTAAATCAACAGTAAAATAAAAATACAAGCCCTGATATCCAAAACTATTTAGAATCAAAGAGTTGTTTAAGCACATTCAGTCGAAGATTTTCCACATAATTAGCTTCCTACCTCGTTTTAGATCCACAAGAAGCTAATACAAAACTTAACATGGAAGCAGGGAAAAAAAAAGAGTATATTCACGAATCACATCCACCTTTCTCAGCCACCCATCAAAATTTAAATTTCATATCCTAAACTACTGCCGTCCCAAAATTTTCTTAGTAATTAGCAAAATATATAAATCTCACTTCATGCTATCAAACCATTCAGTTACTACTTGAAAAAGGTTGAGACAATTATGCACCAATCTATAACTTTTTTCTTTCAAATAATACAATACACTTTCTCTAGCGCAAGAAAAAATGAATCTTTTCCCAAGCTCATTAAGCTAAACTCGAAACAAATTGCAACAAAGTAACAAAATTGACACCATACCTTCCTCTTGCCCTGAGAAAACCTCTCTGCAATCGTCAACCTGGGACCTCTAAACCCTAACTTCTGATCCTTCGCCTTATCATTAAGCCCCAAATCCTCAATCACAGCCCCAATCGCATCCCTAGCTACGATATCCTTCGGCGCCAAGCCTTCGCACAATTTCACCAATTTCGCCCTCGCCTCCGCCATGAGCTCGATCTCCAGCTCCGTCGGCTTCTTCCCTCCCCGAATCTTCGCCATCGTCGACAGAACCAGAACAATCTCCGCCACTCTCTTCAATCCCCCACCGTTTGCATTCCCAATTCTCGGCTTCTTGCTCGGTCGAGTCCCCGAATCGCCATTTTCCGCCGGCCTCTTCTCGGCCAAAGGTTCACACTGCTCGGCGACGGCAACGTCTTGATTCGCCGCCGAATCCATGGGAATGGAGCGCTAGAGCGACGCTGTTTCGGGAAGATGAAGAGAGAAAGACCTGCAAGAAAGAGAGAGGGAAACCCTAAGACAGAAGATTTTCTGGACTCTGTTTGGCGGAAGAGAAAATATGAAAATTTGGAATGATAAATTAAAGTAGTATTATTTTTGGCGGGTAATTGGGAGGGAGAAAGAGAGAGATTTTAATTTTGTAAAGTGATTTTAGAGTTTGGAGAGAGAGAGATGGCTTGGGGTGGCTGAGCAGGACGATTTTTAGAGAGAGAAAAAGGAGGGAGAGAGAGAGGGATGGGGGTTTATTGGTGATATCAACCGGTTCGGTTTATATTAAACCCAGTTTTATCAAGAAACCTATCCAAACTAAGTGATGGGCCAGCCATTTGGGCCTCATTCGAGGGATCCTTACTATTCGGCCCAGGCCTTGATTCAACCTTGCTGGCAGGCCCGCCCACTAGGCCTACTTGTTTCAGCCTCGTTTTTAGGGCATATGCCCCTTTGTACCCCCAATTTTTCTCTTTTAATATCATATTCTTCTTAATTTTGTTTTCTTTGGTAAATTGCACATATGCACTCTAAACTTCTCTCTCATTTATAAGTTGGATCTTAAATTTTGATATTTAGGATTTTAAATTTTGATATTTAGGATATTAAATTTGACAATCTTTAGTAATGTAGACTAATTGATGATGAGCGTCAATTAATCGACGGAAATTAATGTCCAAAATGTTAAAATTTGAAAAGTTCAGGGTCTACTTCACCGACCACTAAAAGTTTTGGGTACATTTTTATAAAAATCTTGAGGCATTTCATCAATATATTGGCATTCATTAGCTAATTTCAAATTTAGGGTCCTATTTATTAAAATTAAAAGCTCCGAGTCTAAGTTATCAAACATCAATACATTCATGGCATGTTTAGTTACCAGGATTGAAGAATAAGAGTAGGAAGTAAGAGTCAATCTCATGTTTACTTGTTCTTTTTTATCCTTGAATAGGAGTGAGATTGGTGGGTCCCACTCAAATTTGAGATTGAGGAATGAGATTGGTACTTTCATGCCCCCCTTGAGATTGAGACTCTCATTCCTAATATTAATATTAATTTACTATCATACTCTTATTTTACTTATAAATACACAGTTCAAAATAAAATTCAAAAAATAATAAATGCAACATATATTTATTATTTTATTTGCCTAATATTATAATATTAACATAATTATTGTTAACTTTAGTATAATAAATATGTACTTTATTTTTTAATAAATCAATAATATATTTTATTTTTTAACACTATTTTTTATTTTTATTTATTTTATTTAAATTTATTTAAATTTATTTTTATATCTTAAATAGTTGTATAATTTATATTTATTATTTTAGTACCCAATTATTACACTAAATATTTTAATTGTGATTAATTTTAATATAATAAGTACACAATATATTTTTTAAATTGAAAATATCAAATTGATTTAAAGGGTATATTAGTACTTTTATACTTTTTCATTCCGATTCTGGGTGTAAGTAAATGTATGAATGAGATTTGGAATGACTTCGATTTTGAATCCTATCACTAAATAAACAGTTTATTCTGACTCCGATTCCTCACTCCGAATCCTACCCACTCCGAATCTTGCCTACTCCGATTCATGCTCATTCCGATTACGCGTAGGTAAACATACTAGAGCAATCAACCCTAATTTTATTTTATTTTATTTTGTTAAAAAAGAGTGAACTCAAATTCTAAAATATTTAATAAAGGACATTCTACTAGAATTACCCTGACAAATTATTAATAGGAAAAAAAACTAGAAAGACTATTAAAGGCGGTAAAAAAATATTATTTATACCACGTCAATTAAAAATAAACAATTATCATTTAATTAATAAGATGAAAATTAAAAAAGACAATGACACCTAATTATTTAGAATGACATAAATATTAAATTTTTAAAAAAATTATAACAAATCATGTACTTTTCTCTTATTAATAGTCAATGATTTAGTCCCTGCAAAGAGGGTATAACATTAATATTGCATAATTGCATTTATATCTTACTTATACGACACATTTTTGAAGTCTCTAGAGAAGACTTCTGGTTCAAGCAATGTAGCCCATGGTTCCTCTAGCAGTACGCATTGACACAATGCTTTGGTCCTTGGAGGACAATTTTGCTAGACCAAAGTCCGAAATTTTGGGAGAAAAGTTTAGATCCAACAAAATATTTTGAGGTTTTTTGATCCTTTTATCATAGCCTTGGTGGAGATACTCAATTCCCTTGGCTGTGCCTAAAGCAATGTCTTGCAGTTTCTGCCAACTAAGTAAATAGTTCATGAGACGTTTAGTTTATAAATTCAGAATCATGATGCATGATTTTAGTTTTTGAAATTTAAATTTTTTATGAAAATAAAACACTGTAAAGAATCAAGAATCATGAGTCAGAATAAGAACGAACCTTTAAAACAAACATCCAATTAATGTTCCGCTCGCCGCCTGTGATATATACCTCTCTAGTGAATCATTTGGCAAGAACTCGTAAACAAGAGCTCTTCTAAATCTATAGGCGCCGTACCCGATCAAGCGAACCACATTGACATGGTGAATTTAACCCATTGTTGCGACTTCGTTTGATAAACTCCTCTCCATTTCCGTTGGTATTGTTTAGGATTTTCAACGCTACAAGGACGTCATTTGAAAGCTTCCCTTTGAATACTATTCCATGGGCTCCTTGGCTTAACTTGTTCTTGAACTGATCTGTTATCTTCTTGACATCTGCATAAGCATATCTTGATGGCTTAAAAGTTCTCTACTCCTCCAAAAATTTCTCAATCCTCAACTGATTTTATGTGAGAGCTTTTTACTGTAAAAAAAAAAAATTAGATGTAACTGTTTCTGAAAGCTTTTTACCGTAATAAAATTTGAATTCTAAATTCAAATCGGTAAAATGAATAGGGCTTTTGCCTATCACTTTTCTTTAAAGTACATTAAGGGCACGTTTAGTTCGTTGATTTGAGTTTTTAATTCGAGTTGAGATGTGACTTTATGTGAGAGCTTTTTAATATAATAAAAAAGTTAAATGTGACTATTTCTTAGAACTTTTTACTGTAACAAAACTCGAATTTTAAACTCAAATCAGTGAAATAAACAAAACTTAAAAAACCCACGGCTGAACTTGCACGTATTTTAAGACGAGTCAGACGTAAGATCAACTATAACATTAGTCTCTTCAAGTTCTAAATACTTATTAAATAAGCCCCGTTTACTTCGCTGATTCGAGTTTAGAATTCGAGTTGAGATGTGACTTTATGTGAGAGCTTTTTACTGTAGCAAAAAAGTTAGATGTGATTATTTGTGAGAGCTTTTTACTGTAGAAAAACTCGAATTCTAAACTCGAATCAGCGAAGTGAACGGGCAGTAGACAACTCACCTGTGATAAGCGCTATTTCTTTTAGCGATGAACCTAAAATGACAATGTTGGTTAAGTTTTCAATGCATATGTATATTGTTAGCTGATTTGTAAAATTTTCCAAAATATAAGCTATTTAGGAAATCAAAACATTAGTTTATATAATAGGTATATATATTTTTTAAAATTTTGAAGAGTTTAATCACAAAATAGATAGCCTAAAAAATAAAAAATAAAAAATAAAACAAAATCAGGTGTATATGCTATTGAGAAACTTCTTACGCCCACAATGCATATGCACAAAATATCCGAAACTCCCTTTGCCTGTAACAGTTTTAAATTAGTTCTTTTGAAAAATCAAGTTCTCAGATTACGAGAATTTGAATATTGAAAAGAAAAAAAAAATACTTTATTTTCTTCGAAATACTCTCGCACCAAATTAAGTCCAAACCAAATGGAGACTAGCGGAAGAGTACCGTTATTTTGTTAAAGTATAAAAACTATTGTTGGCCCACCTCCTAATAGCTTAAGCTTTTGAGATGAATTGGTAAACTAATATGGTATCAGAGCGGGAGGTCCTGAGTTCAAACCCCCGTAATTGCATTCTTTATCCACATTTAAAATTGTCATCATGTGTTGGGTTTTTAATATATCGCGGGCTTAAATATTCACGATTGCCCATTGTCTAGCCCACACGTGAGGGGGAGTGTTAAAGTATAAAAACTATTGTTGGCCAACCTCCTAACTGCTCAAGCTTTTGGGATGGATTGGTAAACTAACACCCTTTCTTCAGTGGTAGAAATTTTGATATTTTCATCTCATGATAGTATAAAATGAAACAAGTTTTTATGGTAGCTAGAGAGATATGTGTGGTAGTATACTAGTGCATGTTTTTTTAGCATATATATAAAAGAAAATATATGAAAATCAACTCTTCCAAAATTTAACAAAAACTTTAATGGGAGTTAGACTGTTCAAAAATATTCATGACCACTTGTATGTAATATAATTTTAGAATATTATGGATAAACCTCATGATCCATATTTTAGGTGACGTTATGTTCACGGGTTCATAACCATGGTTCGTGATTCTGATTTTTGAAATTTAAATTTTTTGTGAGAGAAAACACTATAGCGAACCAATAACCATGATCCAGAATTAGGCCAAAACTCTCAAAACAAACGGAGTATTAGGCCTCGTTCATTTCACCCATTCGAGTTTTCAGTTTTAATTTTCTACAGTTAAAAGCTCTCAGAAAATGTCACATCTAACTTTTTCTGC